TAACAGAGTTGTAAGTAATAAAAAGGACTATTTTCTTTTCATTCCATTCTTCCTATTTGTTCAATTTTGTCAGTAAAAATAACATTAATAACTTTAACAATCAAAGCAGATTTTAATGTGTCATATTTAATACTCTTCATCTCACAGTTAAATTTTTCAAGAGAGAATTAATCTAGTAAGTATGGAGCTGTTTTGACCTAATTAGCAAAGTAGTGAGCTTAATTTTGGGTGATACAGAGAAAGCATTTCATTGCTGAAAAGAAGCAGCAAATCAGTTTTACTTTTCAATGTCCCATTGAACTGTATGACATCATGTGTAGTATAAACCACTTGACATAATCTGCCTCTGATTTTGAGTCCTGAAGGAAGGGTGGCTGTGACAGTGCCCTTTGAAATAACATTGAAGCTTCAGCTCCCATGTCAACATCATGCTCTAATCAGTGCAGTCTTTTTTGTCACAGGGTCTTCCACCTTATAATTGACCCTGACATATGCTATTCACTCTACCCCTTGGCTTCGGACATATAATTCCTGTCATGGTCAATTATTAGGTGATAGAGCCTGCAACCACAGGGACCATTGCTTAAAATCATCCTACACAGTAAGCCCTGAAGTGACCAAATTCACATATAACTGGAGGGGAAGAGGGGATCTAGTCTTTGAAAAAAGTAATATTCTTTTCACTTCTATATAGAAAAATGTCAATTTTCATCATCCTGTAAACTACTGAGACAAATGGTGACAGTGCTATTTCTGAAACAGGTTAAGGAAAAGTACAGAAACCTTTACCAAACTCAAAACACTGTGCAATGAGGAAATTGTCTGTATGAGCATACAGTATGCATAAAAATTAGATTACACTACATTTGAAAGGCAGATGAGAGTTTAAGAGTGACAAGTGGGCAAGTGCTAAAAATAAGGGCATGTTACTTCCTTTCCAACACTGCTTTGTCTGTATGCTTTCTTTGATGTTGTTTAAGCTTTGAAGTAAAGAAATACCTTTCAAGAGTCTGAAAGGTACTTCTGATTACTATATTGATAAGAACTAATTTTGAACAAAATATGTCTTGTGGTTTTCCCATTGGTTCTATAATGCCTGAAAAATTGCACAATGATAAAAACCAGGATACCTGCTCTCTGGTCTTCATACAAACATTATGATTTTCAAAACCAAACAGTTTTGCAGTCATTGTATTTCGGCAGTAATGTTAAAAAAAATCATTACTTCAGGAATATGAGCTGAGAAGAGCAAAAGTTTACCATTCATCTGCAAAGGTTGAAAGGCAGTTTTGTGAATTATTGGTTCACTTCACAGATTCTCTGTCCATAGTCAACTATGCCACTGCACCAGAGGACTCTCCCTGTTTTCGCTGTGTGAACATTAATTTCAATCTGCTAGGCACTACTGCCTATTTATTTGGGTTTGGGTTTTTTGGTTGGTGGGGTTGTGGGTTTTTAAAAAGAAATTTGAAGGGAATTTTAATGGTCTATAGTTTTTTCAAGTCACAAATTTTTTGTCTGTGGAAATCTTACACTGGATTGTTTCACTGCTGACAATTTACTTAATTCTCTTATATATAGAACACAGCTCAGAAATAATCTGTAAAAGACCCTTGCATATCTGCTTAGTTTTAAGGTAATAGAAGATATAGTGTTCTGAAAGATGTGATTTGGTGATATCTTTATTTCATTTCTTAGCCTGAATAGACAAAGCTCTAATTAACATTCATACAATTATCTAAGTCTTTAAAATCCCATCTGTCTTAATGATGTATACATAGCATAGCAAGCCCAATAAATACCAAGCACATACAATGCAAATGCTTTTAATTTAAACTATAACACTGCTTACTGAAGCTCTTGTACATATTCTGTGGTTCAGTTGTATGGTTATCATAAGACTTGAAGACTTCCTCCTGAAGTACACAGTCCTGCGTATATCTGAGAGCTGTTAGTTCAGCAACTGCTGTTACTGTGTGCAATATCCAAACAAGTAAACTTTGAAAATTACTGATTTAGCTACATGTGAGTTAACTAGTGTGTAACCTGGCTGAGGTGTTTACAAGACAAGAACTAGCCTTGACTGAACATGCGAATAGATGCGAATACTAAATTTCCACACCTTCAGAATTAAAAAAAAATTAAAAGTGCTGTTCCTAACATGCATTCTTTTATCTACCCCGCATGTATCATGTGACATTCTAAACATTATTTCATAGAAGAATTAATTCATCTTTCAGCAGTGTGCAGTCTGTGAAGCAAGGAGAATAACTCCTGGCTGCTTTATGGTTTAAAGCATGATTGAATATACTAACAGGGCTCCATGAAGTACTTACTTCAATATATATAATGTATTTTTAAAACATTTCATCTCTATACAGGTCTCTTCCTCTCAAGAAGTGGAGCATCTCTATTGCACTTAAGAAGATGAGGCAATAGAGCCCAAAAATACTGAGACAGCACCAGTGATCTGAATCTTGTCATTTTATTCTCTGGTCAATAACTTGTTGATCATTGCTTGATCATTCCTCCTACTTCAGTTGCTCTGTGTTTCAGTTTCTCTCAATATAAAGTGACATAGCTATACCTTGCAGAGTATTTTGAGAATTATGGGAGTTTACAACTGTGTAAAATACAAAACATGATTGTAGTAAGTATTTTTAAAAGAGTCTTTTCATAAACCTTTTAACTCTGTTGCTCTAAAAATCATTCTTATCATTTAGATTATGGCAATTAAGGGAAATACTTTTTGTGTAATGAATGAGATAATTTGTAGTTATATAAATTTATAAGATCAGCTTATTTTCAAAGTTTATATGCAGGTTCTTCTGGGAAAGTAGACAGGGACATCAGAAGCAGTATTTAAATCTCACCACGGCAACTGATTTTTCTATGCTCATTCAAATAACATATTTGCAAAACTGCCAGATGGGGAGAGAACTGCAGTGATAAAATAATGGTGAGGTTTGTAGTACAGGAAAAAAGGATCAGACATTAGATATATTATTTTAACATTATGAGGAGCTTTTAACATTTAACAAACTTCTTAAATAGAAGCTTTTCATTGATGTCTCTTTTGCAAAAATAGCAAAAGGAAAAGGTGAAAGAAAACCATACAGCTAAAGCTGACACAAATCCTAACCAAACACAATTAATAAGGAGTATAAAAATGGTAAATATTTGAATCATAAATCTTGTGGCAGTATGGGAGGCAGAAGGTTACTATAAGCTTTGCATTGAAGATTTCTAGTAGGGTATATCCAGTCTCTCCTCCTTCCATTATGGATACAATTGGTAAAAAACAGCTTTGAAAAATTTGATTCTCCCAGGCTCTTATGCATACTACAGCATTAAAAGCAAACATTTAAAGATAGAAAACTTGTGAAACCTCAGTGCATTTTTTAACCCATTTCCAGGAAGCATTAGATCAACAGCAGAAATAATTGCTGTCAGTTTGTACTTTTTGACCAATAATTCTCTGTATTTTCTGCAAGAAACTTGAGTGATGCAAATGACCTTATTTTTACAGCATGCTTTTATTAAATAGTTTATTATTTTGGCAGACTAATAAAGATTTTGGTATTTGCTTTTATTTGCAATAATATTACCACGACATAAAAAAGGATTTTATGTTCTTTTTGAGGAACAAGGAGGATAAAAGTGTTGATGGATAGTGCAACTAAGGCATCAGCAATGAGCTGGAAATGAGACACATAAATATGAAAGCAGAGCTAAGAAAATAGAACTGCACCCTTGGCCTTTCTTAAAAGAACATGCACATGCCATGGTTCATTCATACAGTTACAGAAACTCCTTTTGTTTTTAGTGAGTCAGTGAAAATATGCATAGACTAAAATATTACCAAGATTCTCAGTTGTTTGGCATATTTCTGTAGTTAATGTAGTTGTGAAGTATTTCAAAACATTTAGAGAAATGACTGTTGATGATTTTAGAAGACATGTATTTTCTTTGAAGTATAAATTTGTCTTTTTTTTCAAGTTATCTCTTAGACAAAGGTGGTGAAGCAATATCTGTGTTCAGTTTTCCCTTTTTTGCCCTTTAAACAGACCTAATTCTTTAAAGATCAAAGAGCTGAGACCTCATAGCCAGATCAGAAAATCACACCAAGGTTTTAAAAACAAAATTATCAGTCCCGTAGTAAAAATAAAAGAAGCCTATATACCATGAAATAGAATTAATCTTATTTTATATTGGATGGGGAGTTTGGTTTCAGATTGAGAAGACTGTGACTATAATATTCATTTCACAATAATCTAAGATCCTTGAGATTGGGTGGTGTTAGATGCAAGGGGTATTCAGCAGTAAGAAATTTATTGATTCAAACACATAATTGGATGTGCCTTGGAAATAATGATACTTTCTTGATTGAGGGTGCTTAAGATTTGAATTTTGCTTATAGTCACTCCTCAAAAAGACAGTCGAAGTAGAAAAATATGAACAGAACAAATACCAATGAAAAAAAGCTAAACAGGCAAACAAAACTTTCCCTCACTGGAAATTTGTTTGTTCCATTTGCCTTTTCTAAAAGGCAGCCAGTAAATAAGAATCACAAAGTATGAGTTTCTTAGAAGAATAAATCTAGCAATTAATTATATGTCAAGGCTTAAGAATCAAAAAACTGCTTATGCCCATTGCCAGTCATTCACTCCCTGTCAGTAGTAGTTCACATCTTTCCTGGGATGGCATCCAACCACAGTGGCATCTAAAATATAGCAGGCTATATTGTTACAGTTGGAGGTGAAATTGAAAGTTGCACCAAACAGAAGTGACAAATTCACATTGCTCAGTGTTGCCTAGCAATAAGAGATGAGTTTATTATGAACACTTGACTCTATATCCATCGCAAGGAGGCTTTGTATTCACACCAAAATGCCACTAGTCTTACAGGCAAAAGGGGCAAAAATAGGGTGGGCAGAAGGAGGGAGCAGTCACGGTAGTTGTGAGTATGTTCTGTATTTCAAGATTTCTGTCTTTCTCAGGGGAGTGGGTCAGGAAGAGAAGGCAGAGCGTCCCTCCAGCTGAACTCTTTGAGATTGGCCAGGTAGCTTGTTACAGACCTTAATCATGCTTTTGAATGCCCTTAGTAGTGCTGTTTCATTAGTAATGGCTTGTAGTTCAGACACTGCAAATGAAATCTTTACTGAATGTTCCCAAGAACTGCTCAGTAGTTGTTTTCATTGTGCAGAGCTTTCAATTTGCTTCTGCTCTATTTTCATTTTTTTCTTATTTTTTTCTTATTTTAAAGGGAAAACGACAAGTGATCAGGGAGCTTTTCCCTCCTCAGACATCTTGCTCTTTTCTTTTTTGACCACTGTTTGTATGGGAGAACATTTATTTCTACCTTGGACATTGGACCTTGTCTCTCAAAGTATTAATTACTTAACTATTCACATAAATGTTGTTTTTTTAAAGAACATTTAGGTATCCTTGAAGACCTTACTGGATACCCACATATTTAGGCACATAATCAATTTTAAAAATCAATGCAATAGTTTCTATTAAACTGGCCCCCCCTCCAATAACTGATCTGTTTCTGTGTTTTTATGCCATCTGCATTTTTGACAACTGAATATTTTTGACAGCATGGTCCATTGTGCCCAAGTTCACATCATTTTTTTTTCTCTCTTTTTTTTAAAACATCATATGACTACATATGTAATAAGAAAATGGGTTATATCACACATTTTGCTTTACAGATTTGGGTTCACAGTGGATTTTTTGAACTGACAAAAATTGTACAAGAAGTATTTCTATTATAAGAGTGCATTTATTTTATACACATGCTAGATTAATGAAATGATATGTAAATATATTGAAATTACAAAACAGTTGTGATTTTAAGAAGCTTTAGAAACACAAAAAATAGATGAAATTTAGAGATTATGTAGTTTAGGTAAAATAGAATAAAATATAAATAAAAAATGCTATCTCTTGTGAAATGTTTAATTAAAAATGCTAGTGCAGAATTATCTCCTTCGCTTATATGTTCATCTAGCCAAAATAACTGAATCTATGAAAATTTGATAGTATAATTTTTATATTTTGTGTGCTAAAATGCAGCTATTGTCTCAAATTGTGACTTAGGCAGTAAGCTTTGAAGGTATAAAACTGAGGTACTTGTATGTTGCAAATGTTTTTGTAAAAACCTTTAGTAACTTTGGTCCTTTCTTTATTTCAGATTCAACGTGTTACAAACAAACATATTCCACCTGTTACAACAATCTGGCATATTACTTCCTTGATACGTGATGATACAATACCTCTCAGGTTTGCTGAGTAGCAAAGAGAAATGTAAGCAAATGAAAAGGTTTTCCACTTTCACAGGTTTTTTTCTGCTTGGGGTTCTGTTTGTCTGAGAACCGTATGAATAGAAGCCATATTTTATAGTATTTCTTTAACCTCTGCCATCTGGTGTAGGTTAGTTTTTCCACTGCCAACATATCCTAGAGGCCCCAGTACCAAAATGTTTAATTTCTAAGTAAACATTTGGACTTTATAAATCCAGTTTAAAAAAATAGAGCATTATTTTTTTTAAACTTTATACTACATTTGCCACTACTGATGACATTAATAAACACACAGACAGGTATATGGGTTTAAAGACTTCTGGCCATTACTTTTCCATAACCAGCCTTGAGAGATGTTAGGTCACCTGACATCTTTAATCATTGAGTCATGCTCAGTTATCAGGAAGAGACTTTAATGTTCCCTTCTGACGTAAAGCCTGAAGTTGTGTCAAGGGATTTGCACCACCACAGCCAAAACTTTCCAAATCAAGTGTTGTTTCAGGCAAATAATACTCACCCATGCCATAGCCAGAGCTTTAACTTTTTTTAAATTTTATTTTAATTTAAACCAAAGTTATTTCACTGCAACAGGAAAGGATTGTTGCTACGTAAGAATTTAGACAAGTGACTAACCACTTAAGAAAACCAAATAAGGTAATAACCACATCTCTAGCAACTTCCTTATGTCTGAGGAAGAAAAAAACCCACAAAAATCATGTGGCAGAATTGTACTACCAAGAGGATAAAGTCCTTCTTAAACTTGCAAGAGTATAGTGTTTCACTTTGTACTAGGTAGCAAATTATCAGATTTCTCTTTGAAGAAATGCAGTGCTGTTGATTGTCCCAAGCTGATCTTCAGTCAGAGTGAAAAACTGAAAAATCCTTGCTTGTGCTGAGCATGGACAGGCAGACTGAATTATCTTAATCAGTATTTTTCAGAGGCAGACAGTCACCAGGTAAACAAGCCATGGACGATATGGGTGCACAGATTATAGAGAACATTTAAAGCTGTGTATAGGCAAGTTCTGAAGGGTAAAAAAAAGATAAATAACTACTATCTTGTTTCTTAATTTTGATTTTAGGGAAAGTTCTGGAAAAAACCTTAGGAATTTCCACTTCTTTACATGCCCACCTGATTAATTTTTTTTTGTGGGTGTGTGGTTTTCCCTAAATTCTAAAATATCAAGAATATAGAAGGTTTACCACCTTCACTTGATGCATTTCCTAATCCTGGTGAGTATTCAGAAACATGTTTCTGGCATGAAATGAATTTTTAATGAAAATTCAGAAAAGGTCTTCACTTAGTGTTTATTGAGTTTCAAATTAAACAAGTCTTAATAATAAAGAACAGTAAATTAATTAACAAGTGTCTCTTTTTTGAGCACTGAGGTCTGAGCTGCTGTGCAAAAGTTATGCCCATTTAAATGAATTTAAAATTTGATTAGTTTAATCAGTGTGATTTGGTAATGAAGATTGATGGTATTTGTTGAATTTAAATGATACTTGTCCTGAGGATAATTCTTCTTGCTGGACAGTATGTATGAAGAGATGAGGTATCACCTTTCAGCCAGTCTGGGGTGTGAAATTCTGTGTTACTTTGCAAGACCACTAATTGCATTTATTTTATTATGCTGAGTTATAAACAGCATCATCTGGGGAGTGAACATCCTCTTTCTTTCATAGGGACAGTGACTTCTTCTGCCTGGATGGACAACTGGTGAAATTGCTTCAGTATGAATCATCAGAACAGATAAATCAGTGCCCACACTGTGATCTTTTTAGTCATCAGCAAAACTTCTTCAGTTTAATTTAGTAATTTTCTAATTCCAGCTCACTTGAGACCATTTATATTTTTTCTTTGTGGTTCTTAAACCTATCTGCATGGGAGTGGCAGCTTAGACATGCCCTGAAGGATTTACCCCAGTATTTTTTTGTAACCATTGATTAGTGCTGCAAACCAGTGCTCAGGTTTGTGTTGTACTTGAACTCACCCTGTCCTTTCAGCACCTCTTACTAATCAGCTCATTCTCTTCTGATTCTCAATGAACTCTACCCTTGATGTTCTGTGCTTGGCTAGACATTTTAAGTGTGGGTTTAGCCTTAGCAAACTAAACCATCTTTTTATCTTCCCTCTTCTGCTACAGTCTTTCCTGTAAACTTTTGGTCAACATAAGAGAATTTTTCAAAGGACTGGAGATCACAATATTCATGCAGGCTTTTTGAACATAAACACCTGTGTGAGAAGGAAAAGAATAAAAATCAGAGATGCAGCAAGGAAAAGACTAGAGTAGGTCATTGCATGTTTGGCCATTCAGTAAACATGCAGCACAGCCTGTCACAACACTGTTGCTGTCTTTCATATCAGTAGTAAAAATATGTAGGAAGAATCTGGGAGTAATTTTTATTTGTTGCTTCTGTCTTAAACTGGGTGTAAAATTGGTCCTAACTCACAATCTCTCCCAGAACAGATAGGAGGGGAGAAACCTCAGACTAAATTTCAGCACACAGACTGAACTGATACCCAAGTCCTGGGGGATGGGTTCTGGGCTCTGACTTTTTTCTCCGTATTTCCTATTTAATAGCAATTTTCTCTTTTTTTCACTAACGTAAATCCAATTCAGATTTGTCTGCAGCCGGTCTGCCTGCCAAGTGTGGGCTTAGGGTTTCACATGGCAGCCCCTTGCCATGTTGGGTACTTTGTGATGCCATTGTGAGGCTTTAAGTGGTTTTGACATGATTGCACTGTAATCAGTCCAGTAAGGAAGAAACTATTATATTTAATAATTTAAATTATATTTAAATTCTCTATAGAAGTGAATGTACCTACAGATTCAAAGTGGTGGTGAAGTATGTGGATTTTTATCAGGTGCAAATTAGTTTCGTGATTTAGATTGTTATATTTGCTGAGTACCCAAATTCTGCCCCAATAATTACTGGAGTTTTTTAAATGTGATATGCTTATAGCATGTATATATTCCCTATTTTTATTACATTATATGCTTGGAGAAAAAGAAGAGGTACTCTTAATATTATGCATAACATATATCCATCCAGGAACAATGAATAATAAACAGTCTCTGGAACTTGGCAGAAGTTTAATTCAAGGGCCATCATGGACTGCATAATTTTGGTTTTGTGTAGTAAGTAGTCAAATAACATTCAGAAATTGAAAGTGTATTTTTCTATAATACACATTTTCAAGCAGGTTTCTTGGCATGCATTTTGTTTGTACTGTGCTTGAAGTTGTTTATGGCATTAGTGGTTAGTGTGTTTGTGCATGTTTGCATTCTGTCTGTTTATGAAGTATTTCACTGGTACCCTTACACAGCATGTGGTCGGTCGAAGATTATTTTTGATAGTGAGTGTAGTCATGCATTTTGGTGTAAGACTTTAAAGTAAAGTGAGTTAAACCCTGGTTATCTGTGGTTATGCAAAGACAGACTTACAGGTTGTACGTCTTCACAGAATTTAGATAGAAAAAGTAATGCACTGTTTTAAAGATGAAAGAGTGAGTTGGTGCCAATTTGTCCAACAATCATGGGAATTTGAGTTGCATAAAGATAGGCCAATTCTATTAATAACTGGAACATTTGTATATTTTTATTATCATAGATGTCAAAAATAATTAACAGATGACTCATTATATTATAATAATAACATGTGTGTAACTAATTTTTGAAATGAACTACGGAAGCAAAAACAAACTTCTAACAAGGATAATTTAAGTCGCTTCAGTCTCTAATTGACAGCTAAGTGTAGGCAATACTTTCAGGACCCAGACAGAGGGCTGTGAAATTAATCTGTGAATTACACTGGGTTTATAGTGTTAGTTGATACTTTTCATGGTGTTTTGAAAGTATGGGTTGTTCAGCATGTATCTAATGACATTACAGGAATATTACTTGCAGAAAATGTAGATGCTGAGCAGCTCTAGACACTTACAGACATCAGTTCTGTAAGGATTTGTAAATGTTACAGAATAAAATATTATTGCTTTATTTAGATGCCTAACTGCAATTTTAAGAGCACTGTTCTTCCCATTAATCTTGAAACTTAAGAGAAACAGAGCTGACCAGTAATTAATTCTTACAAAAGTTGCACTTGTAAGTACTATTTCATTACTATTGTTAATAAAGTTCTTCATGGTAGGAAACTCCATTGTATCAGTTCCAATTTTCTTAATTTTGGGCCAATTTACATTTTTTTTCTTAAACCTTGTTTCAGTGAAGTGGAGATTTTTTTCATACAGGTCTCTTTTTTTTTCCCACTAGAGTAATATTAGACAATTTTCTAACAATTCTTTTACATTTCTCAAGTGTGCATTTATGAGAGCTTAAAAAAGATTTCATTAAGTTTTTCTGTCTTTGAATAAGAGAATAAAATTAATGTGTTCATTGAATATCATTTATGTTGTGCACAGTTTTTATCTACTTTCTGTACATAAAATGTTATATAGCTGTATCATTTATAACACCATGCTGTGCTGCACAACTCCAGTTTCTTTTTATGTACAATTCTGTAACATACAGTGAGACCTTTGTTTAAGAATAATGGTCTATGGGACTGTAAATGAATTTGAAAGAGGAGAGATAAAGGTAGAATCCACACTCTCTTAGTATTCTTCCTCCTTGTAAGATGCCATACCTATGTTATTCTTGAGAAGTATAAATTCAAGCCACAGAAAATAACATTTCTATCCCTCAAGACGTAGAAGCCATTCATACAGAAATGAAGCAAAACGTGTACAGAAATAAACTTTAAATCTTATGAGTAGCAGCAGGTTCATGGTGTGAGGAAGAAAAAAAATGGTGAGAGGATGCCAAGACTGACAAACTGAATTGTGGCTCATCTGAATGTTGTTGAACTTCATTTCACTAACAAAGCAGAGAGTTAAAAAGAAAAAAATTAGGAAAAAAAATCCCTCTTATCCCTGTAATATACTAGTTCTAAAAGAAATGTGTATATACTATAAAAATTCATAGATCTTTGTACTATGTAGGTATTTTCAATGTTTTAAATTGGAAGCGGAGAAGAGGATTTTAGTAAAATCTGTATGATCATACAAAGGACAAAATTTGGTGATAACTTGTCTGGAAATGTGTAAAAATGCATACAAAATCAGTGTAAAAATCCAAATATTTTTTTATGTAAGAAATTGCATATTTAGTGTATTTGGTGTATTAATATGCAATGATTTATGGAAGAATGCACAATTTATATATATACATATACATATACACATATATGTATGTGTGTGTGTGCGTGTGTGTCTGTTTCCATAGCCTATCTTTTCATAGATTCTATCTTCCAGTTCATGTTTTTTGTGTAAATCAGGAGTGATTTTTAAAAGTCAATGTTTAAAATGTTGTAAGAGTTTATTGTCAAGTCCATTATATATAGTAGACATATATTAACATATAAGAGATGAGCCAAGACAATACAAAACTATTCATTTTGGGCTGAGTCCAAATACTGGCTCATGTGCCAACTACTTGCCAGTATAATATTTAGATAATATTCTTCAGCAGACAAGTTTTTATGTTGTAATGAGAGATCCATGTAACCTGAATGTAACCTGGGTGTTTTTGAAAATAGAACATAACTTTTATGTTATTTAAGTATTTTAAGCATGTTAGCCTTTATATCTTCCAATTTATGCTTTCATTTCAGTGAGAGTACTGCTGGAACAGCAATTTATCTTCCAGGAAAATTCAGCAGGTCTTTTGGGACTCAAAGTATGTAAGAAGTCAGGCACTGTCCAAGTAACCACAATATTCACAACCCCCTGGAAAGCATTTTTAAACCCTGAGATAGAATTTTTGGGTTTGCAAACAATAATAAAATCATTGTCTAAAACTTTGCTTTTAATATATGTAAACATCCTAAGAGATTACAAATGTGTTCCTCTTTGTTATATGTTTTGGCTTCAGAATCATTACCCTCTAAAAGTTACTTCAGTTCCAGGTATGACTCTTTGCTATATAAGAAGTCAAGCAGCTAGTTAATTATCCACTTAAAAAATAAAATTTTGTCCTTAAGACAAAAGGAGAAGGGCACTTTTCATGACATTTTCAATGAACTGGAACTTCTTGCTTCAAATGATATTCCAAAAAACTTGCTTTTTCTCTTGGAACTGGGTCAGAGTTTTTCTAGCCTTGATAGAATTGGCATCCTTTCTCGAAATTGAAATATGCCAGCCGTAGTACTTTTTCAGTAATACAGTTATCATGCAGAAAATCTTTGATAAGGCCACATATGCACCATTTGTGCTATAGAGATCCATGAACCTGCAAGGTTATGTGACTGTGAGTAACCCCTGCTGCCATTTGATGCTACTAAGTCTTCAAAAAGCTTGACCGTGAGACAGACTTCTTTTTCCCCCAAAGGCTCAACATTCTTTTTTGTGCTACATTTTTCAGAAGAACTCTTTGTTTGAAGAAGCTGGGCAGGGTAAAGCTGGCAGACTGGAACACTGCCCTGATGTGTTGTGACAGACATGTAATCTGCCATTTGACCACTGGTTCACACATCAGTGTTAATGTGAATGTGACACCTCTCAGCATACTGTTAATCATGCATTACTCTTCTGTCTAAAATGTGGAGATGTGGAGTAGACTTTTATTCTTTTCAGAAGACTACACAAAAAACCCTAGTGAAATGAAATTTTACAGCCATAAAAAGCAAACTGATTGACAGCTGCAAATCATAGTCACAGCAACATTGATATATACATATTTATAGATCCCTAGATTTCAAAACTAAAAAGGATCATTAGAACAGTCTGCTTAATCTAACGCACTCCCACTCTAAACATGCAAGGAGTCAAATATGTAGTCCCATGTCATGTGTGGAAACCTAGAAGATGACCTTCTGTAGTCCAGAAATGAGATCAATTCAGCTTCTTTTCCTCACTAACACTTTTACATCTCTTGGGTTTTGTTTCTTTTTCTCCTGGTGTTTCATCACCAAAGTGCCCAGGAGTTCATCTGCTTTCATTCAACTGAAATGCATGTACCAGATGGTGCAAATAGCCCAGTATATTTCAATCCTGTATCCATGTCAAAAAACAGGCAGACTGCTGCAGTTCTTGGTTGCTGCACCTCATGGTATCAAAGGCTGGCTAAGAAGAGTGACACTGCTTGACGATGAATAAGATTTTTCAGGTCTGGCAAGGAAGTTGCTTTGGAAGCTAAAATCCTGCTTCTACTCTGTAGGAGTTGCTTTTCATGATTAATTAATTGTGTTTACACTAATCTACAAAGGATGTAAAGAAATATAAAAACAGAGTTACAGAAATGTGTCTAGTTAAGATACTTTATAGTAACCATTTCATCACCTGTATTTTAAGTATATTTTCTACCTGCTTGTTAGAATTTTAAAAGAAATTTACCTAAACCAGAAAGTTCTGTATTGTATTTCTCAGCATTCTTTTACAGGGGGACCACTGAGATCTGTGTTTGCTGTGTGAGCAGCCTAGATCTCCCATGTCCTTAGGCCAATGAAGTTTGAAATTATCTTGAAGGCTAGGCAGTGAAGTGAAGGTCACTAGCCACTTTCATCTGATAGCACCTGCTTAGAGTTTGGTCTCAACACTTTCAAAATATCTCCATAGTAAAGCCTTAGACATGCAAAAGCCATAGCTCTAGAAAAATTATGATAGGAGATTTCAAAGAGTGGACAGTTGTTTATCCTGGAAAACAAAAACTGGAGACAGTAGTTGAAAGCTG